CTATAAACATACGTTGCAATGGTCAGGATTAGAGTGGTAGACAACCTCCTGACACTCTTTTTGAATCGAATGAAGCAGATACTTTTTCTAGTTATCTCGGCCACGCTTCTACTAGGCAGATAAGTAATTTTGAAAAAAAAATATCCGGCATTACCTTGCTGACAGACTTTTCAAATAGTACTAATTAAATATTGGAAGGAGAAGAGATTAAATTCGAAAATTTGTTTGTTTTTAATTTACCTTCAAGTCGGGTATATGAAACTTATAATTGTTGCATAGATTATTTTGTTTGCTGGTGAGATTGTTCATGGTGTCGAACGTTTGCTGGCATGTTTTATCGCCAGGGGCTGAAATAAGCCAATACTCGGACATCTTGTTGATTTCTAGAGCAAAATAAAAACACATTTATTAATTACATCGATAGAAAGACCACTTACTAAGCATATTATACGGAAAATGTGCAACAAACAACACACACAAACACCTCAAATCACATGATTCAATAATTAAAGGCTTGTTCATTAGCGACATTCGAGTTTTGACACTCACTTAACTCCCTTACAAAATCTTTGCACACACACACACGAATCCACACAAAGTGCCTTGCTAAGGGAGCCGATTTTGTCAAGAGGGATTGAGAAAACTTTTTTCTGAGCAAACCTTTTATTATCGAATCATGCTCAAATCATACGTACATTAATACATAAGCATTGCGAATTCCTTAATTCGAGAAACATTATATGCCATCAAATATTAAGAATTTAAAACATACCTATAGCATACCAATTAAATTGACCTGTCTAAAATTTTAATTTCAACCTCAGCTAGTCTGTTGTTTGCAGTTTGCGTTAGATCAGCTTGAGCTCACAGTAAACGACAAATCAAAACACGCCCATCAAGTGCAACGATATGACATCACATTGCATAGCAGAGTAGAAGAGTCAATGTTCACATAATGGACACGATATCTACTTTGGTCTTAATGTACATATGTACATACATACATACATACATAGTACGCACACGGAGTAAAGAACTTCTTGCTCTAAACATACCTATTATATAAAATATTCAAATGCATAGTAGTATGCGAGCAAATAGCTATTAACAGCAGTTAAGGTACGAAGGACATCTTCGAACGAAAAAAAACACTACTAAAGTCTAAGTTTAAAAGGCAAATTGAAGATAGAGGTTTAGCTTGATTGACATGTCAAACCATTCTACTTACTTACATATCTACAAAATGGGCAGTTGGCTGCCATTCGATTAGACGAGCAAGTACATCGCTGTAGTAAAATCAATGGATCCATTTAATTATTTATAGTGTTGTAAAACTTTCAATTGATATTGCATTGAACTTGAACGACGATAAGTTGGACGAAGGACTCAGGAAATGGCATTCAATGGGAAATACTTACAGAAAAGTATACATAACTACATATAATTGTGTACGAATGTTTGTATGCTAGTAGTTGTCTATTAGGTGTGCAGACATGACGTATGTATGAGTAATTTAACAGGAATAATGAAAGCGATGAAGATTAAAGTGCTGTGGAATCTATAGAAGGGAAAGTTAATTAATAAAATGAGGGACAGTTAAGATTTGAGTGGTGACTAGTAGGGAATTCGACATGGTACAATAATTACAGGTATTGTCTTCCCAGAGAGCGCATATTCCGATCTGCCTTATTTGAAAAACATCATCGTTGCCCACACTAAAAGGTTTACTGTAAGGGAAAAGGGATATTTCTATATACCATAAATCATATAGTATGTTTACGTATTTTCTTAAAGAAACCTTCCTGCAGAGAACTTATTTAATTTGCAAAAGCCGAAAAATAAACATTTTCTTAGAAAACAAATTGCAAATTTTGGTTGCTAACTTTATTTCAAATGT